TACCCTTAGCCAAAAGGTGTCGTAAGCGTTTTGGTGGTGAATGTACGCCGATGTATTCGCTCGCGCTCGTCTTCTGATGCAAACAAACAGCGATGATAGCGCTATAAGGAAATGCGACGACCATAAAAAAGCACACCAAGAGACGAAGAAAGACCTTCCGCAACGCAGAACTCAAAAATGGTGCGAACGTGAATGGTGAAAGTGGCGAAAAAGGCTTTGATTTGGGTCAGAGGCTAACTTCTTTCCACCCTATTTGTTCTAATTTGTTTTATTTCGTCCGTAGTCCGAAAGTGCTCATAAAAGACACTAAAATAAATGTATGTTGGATACATAACTAAGAAAATTATTATTGTAAGGCAAAGCCTTAGATAATGACAATTTTGAGGTACCAGCTGTGATTTTTGACCTAGAGCAGATTTGCAGACAATCGTAGACCTCTGCTAACCGGTTGTCCATGCAGCAACTCATAAATATCATTTGTGACCGACCTATTTGATTCTCCCTCAACAGTACCGGACCCGAAGACGCTGATTGGTCCGTTGGGAAGAGTATGCACGGTATGGGCGAGATTCGAGTTAGACTTCTTTGTTACAACTTAATTGCCTAATCGGGTTTCCCAAATTTGCATGCGGCTCACAGTAGTAGTACGAATTTTTCCTTGGACAAAATTTTTGCCAAATTTCAATGAAAAAAATGATAAATTTGACAAAAAACTCGTGGGTCTACCCGAGCAATTCATATATTAACCAGTGTTATAAATGAAAAACGAACTTGTAACTTCTTTCTTGCAGTTGCATTATCATAATTACAAAGCATGAATTGGCGATAATGAAAAACATTGACCAAATATCAAAAACGGGATGTTGAAATCGCAATTTACAGCCCCAAATATAAAATTGTCGTAATAAATGGAGCGGAAACAATTGCGAAGTTTAGAAGCACTGAACGCCAGCATTTTTGGATAATTGCTGAATCTTTCATTAGCTTGAGGTGATAGGTTTAGTGTAGAAATATGATCGTCATACTTACGCTCAAATCTTGACAGTGAATTTTTTTTATTCAGCAACATATAATATTTCTCACATGAACAAAAAAATAGAATGCGCGAGAGTTCTATGATCAAAAATGCAGTCGAAGCAGCCCGATTGCATTTATAAAAGAGCTGTTTCGCGGCTCTGAATGCGAATTGCCAATTCTGCCGTGCAGAAACACATTTGGAGAATTTCTATCATAGTTTAATTCTTCAACATCGCATTCAGCGAGAAACTAAAAGTTTTCAACTAGCATTTTGATAACATCAGGGATGTGTGAAGGCATGAAAATTTTCGATAGATTTCTGCTGAAACGTTTCGTTACAGTAAATAGAAAATCTTCGCCATTTATTGTTAGTTGCTGACCGCATAAAAGAATAAATCAAATATTCACGGTGTAAGCTTTATATTGTCTCTGGAAAGAAAATCATAACTAACATTACCTTATTAGGTGGGTGAATTTGCGGTCCGTTTTCGACTACGTAATGAGCAGTTTTAACCGACTTCGATTTTTTAAAGAAGAAAGTTGCAAGTACGTCTATCAATCAAATTTTTCAATAAAGAAGCACATTTGGTGATAAAGTCGTGGTCAGCCTTTGAAAATCTTCCTTTTTTTGGGTTCCTGAACTTCGGATCTATCTTAATAAGAGAACATAACTACTACTAGGAGGTGGAAAAGCTGTTAATTTAGACAATTGCCATTTTGATGAGAATGAACGCGGGTACAAGAGTTTAGCATTATGATTGTACGGAATGGAGGATATTCGAGAAAGCACTTTGTTACGTCGAGGACATACGAATGTACGGAAAAATAAAGTCGTAAGCCAATCATGAGAATTTAATTAGCGTTTGCGACTGGCGAAAGATGAAAAAAGAGCATGGCATGTAACGTACTCCGCTTGACTATAGCCTGGCAAAAAATTTTTTAGTGGTGAGGCATAAACAGCGATCTACGCAGGCCAGGGAACAAAAGCGTTTAGAATGTCATATAGCAGTCGTTTTTTTTTTGAACTAAAGCCATGGCACTGTAACCACGGCAATAAGAAAATAAAGGGCTGCAGAGTAGTAAGTATTGGGAATTAATAGGGAGGACCACGAGAATCGTACAAAATTTTTAAAAATTTGTAAGCTCCTCCAAATGCCCGTCTGATATGATGTAAGCTGATAAGAAATAATATGCGATTTAAAAGTTGTTTTCTCAAAAATTGTTTTTGTCATTTAGCGGCAATAAAGGGTGATAGAGACGAACACCGAATTTTTTTTTATTCAATTCTCGGGAAGTAGTCCATCTAAGGTCTAGCGACTATCAAACTTTACAAGTCACAACCCACTCTGCTCTTATTACCTATTCAAAATAAGTTTAGATCAGCTCTACAAGGAGTTGCAATTTTCAGTAATTTTTCTGAAATCTGATTGAGTTCAAAATAAAACTTCTAATATATACAATAAAATAATCACCACCACATAAAACATTATCATACAATCAAGTATTTACCTAAGCATTTTCAAATAATTTTTCAGCTTTTTGATTCAGTACTTTTTTCAAACTATAAGTGAAGAGAGTTGGTAGATACTTTTCAACGAGGCGCTAATCTCATCTGTTTCCAGACTGGCACTTCCGTGACTTGCCATTTAACCCGGATTATACCAGGTGTCACCAATTTAGCGCAAATCGAAATAGCTGGTACCAAGGGTGGCACAGTCAGAGCATTGAATAACAATTACGGACTCCGATTTCTATTTTCACAAAGCAGAGAACCCTTCGTATGCTTTTTTGAGACAAATCGGTCGCGAGGGACGGAAATGAAAAAATCAACAAAAGCAGAGCAATATTATGGAGAAGCACATGGACTCACGTTGGAGGAACCAAGTTCTTCCCCCTGGATGTCAATACAATTAGCATTGGAGCACGATGGACACGACACAAAGCAAACAATTGGCATAAGGCCGTCGGAAGTTATTTGATCATAGGATGAGGCATGCGAACAGCACATATAACTTGCAGTTGGAACGGTCAGGTAAACAGGATTTTATTGTCTTATTGATGGTTAGTGGAACTATGAGCTTGTGTACATAGGAAGCACTGTAACAGACTGAGCAGAAATTAAGAAGTAAAGTGCGAGGGGTTTGTTATTTTATGGTACTTATAAGCAGTAATTTTCCAAAAAGTATCATTTTGCGGGAATAAAATGATAATTATGTTGAAAAAAAAAAACGGTACGGCAGAAAACCGAAAACGAGATCAAGATAGCAAGGCGAGAATAATGGAATCAAATGCGTTTTGTAAACCGCAAAAAACCCATACTCTACGAGTTAATAGCGTGGCGCAAACAAGCAAATTTCCAGTCGTAAATCATCAAATTTCTGCCGTAAAAAAGCTGCTAGCTGCGTGTCACAAAATGTGGACAAACAGGATTCCATATAGGGAGCAATCGACTAGGGAATAGTGTCATTCGCGTCGAACAAATGCCCTCGAATAGTTCGCATTCACACAAGCAACAAGAACGACCGAGCTATTGACCGGCCTGACCATAAAGCGCCCGTGTGTTTGTACGCCCGCCTGTCAACGGACCATCCAACCAGGAACAGGTCGCCTCGACTGATACTCCCCTCGTTTGATGAGCTGTTCCGGGGTTGTTTTGCTATGCGTAGCTTCAAGGGCTATCGCCTATCTTGAGCATTCAGGCAGTCAAAACTTGCTGTGTACAGAAGGCTGGCAAGCTAAAGAATGAAGTCATGGTTTCAGAAAAATGTCGCGGTAGAGAGATAGTATCAGAAATTCTGGTTGCAAGAATTTTCTTGGAGAGAGGCTCGAAAAACTTTTTTATGGGGTTAAGCCAAATCTGTCACGTCCCTCAAAAGTATTTTTGGCCAGTCCAACTTCACAAAGAGATGATGAGAAGAAATTTCTTGTTCTTCCCCAGTTTTTACCAGGTCACGGATGAGAATTTTCTAAGGATAAGGGAGTAGGAGATGACCGGACTCCAATGAAAAATCACTTTGGTATTTTTACTTTTATTATTACAGTTAAAATTTACGAAAACAAGTTCAAAAAGATGAGGACATCTTCCAAATTTTTAGACTTTCCAGAACTTTCTAATATACTTTGGAAAGCCCCGCCAAAGGTGAGCCGCTGAACAATTTTTGAATTTATGAACTTCTTCCATAATTTTCTAACCCATCCGCTCTCAGGAAGCCCCGCCCTTTTCCTGCTTCCCTTTGCTCCAAAACTACAACAATCACTAGCGATTCCAAGTTGCACATAAAGCAAAAAGACAGTCTTGCACTTTGCAGGTACCTACATATGGATTGGATATTGGATATTGCATATTGAATAGTTCGAATTCAAACAAAAATGATGAATATGCAAAAACAAATTAATTGAAATGACTCCCTCCACTTTGCAGCGCAGATGGAGTCGATTTTATTGGAACTTGATTACTGCATGTGACGTGCTTAAACAAAAGAGCACTTATGTGAAGTTGAGAAAGCAAAATACGATCGATGGATGAAATGATATGAATTTTGTCAAAAATCCAACTGGTTCTCATCCTGAAGGGGTCCCTGAAAACTTTCGGGTTTTCTGGCTATTGAGTGCAAAAATCAAGAAACATTCCAAGTAAGCAATAAGCATTAAGCTTTTTTTTTTGAGGTATAAACAGGCCATTTAGGACAAATGCTGGGAGTAAGCTAGTCTCCAACGTTGTGACAATGACTCAGAATAAACTTCACGCGACTATGATCAAAACGTCGTTATTCGAAAAATGATGTAAAAAAGAGAGGAGTGAGGTTATTAAGCAGGATGAAGAAAGACGAATTGTTTCACGATAGCAGTTCCTGTGAAGTTTTGACTTTCATAAAATAGAAAGATACGAAATGTGATTAAAAAGAAGATGAACAATGAAAATTCGCATATTCCTCACTCTCGCTCTCTCGCAAAACATAAAATAACTCGGTAAAAGTACGTACCCTCTTTTTCCATTTTTCGAGATCATTCATAGCGTCGAGCCGTTGTTCAGATGCCCATCGATCTGTGCGAACTAGTGGTATGGAAAAGCGATTGAGCGCTTCTGGATGAGGCTAAAATGTAAAAGCATTGGCAGTTCTCCCAGAGGGACTCAGAAAATTACATTTCGGTAGATAAGGAGGCTAATAAGGAGGAAAAGCAAACGAATAGACTGTGTGCATCTGAACTTACCTCACAGTTCATTTCCCCGTAGACAGACTGGCTCAGACGCGCTATAGAGCTGCTTAGATTCTTATCCACCTCCTCCAACGGAGTCAAGTTGAACTGACGTCTTCGCACCGATCCAGGTGACCCAACACCGAATTCCTTTGCTGCCCGCGGCATAGTGGACGTCACATGTTCGTTCAACCCATGCCGGGTGACTGCATTTATTTGTGCGGACTTTCCGGCTGTACCGGTTGGAATATGATCCATTGAGGTTCTTGCAATAGTTTTCTGAGGGCCGTTCCTCTCTGAGAGCACCGTTCGAACAGCCGGAATCGGCTTCGGTAAATCGGATATCTAGAAGCGGACTTTTACAAGCGTGTCACTGAGCTTATTGGATGTTCTCCAACAAGTGCATAGAAGAAGCAGAAAATTGGAAAGTTGGAAAGTTGGAAAGTTCGAATATGAAGACATACCTTTTCAGAATGCAACCGATCTTTGATTCTGTCGTTATGATTCATCAGAGCCGCTGTCATTCCTTCAGTCGAACTCGATTTGTCGGAAGAGGTCGGCAAGGGAAGCTGGAGTAATAGAACAGTTAGGAAGTGGGAGCCATAAGGACATAGATATTCAAATGCGGCGCTGGAATTTGGAAAGCGCGATTAGGACTGTTGTGACGATGCAGTTGAAAATTATTATAAGTGATGATCAAAAGTGCCGCTGCCTTTTCAACAGCAAAAAAAATGCATAAAATCATGCACGCATCCCAAAGCCAACAAATTTGCCCACGGTTACCGAGTCTTTTCAGAAAAATTGCTAGAATAAACCAAGTTCTGATAAGCGATGCACTCAGAAAGGCCATTTTCCACAACGGAACGGTGGGGTAACATACCATACTGTAGATCTTCACTAGAAGACCTGCGGCTGCAGACCACAGCTGAGTAAGTTTACGCATCATCTGTTTTTCAACGCTAATAAGCCCTGTTCGTGAATTTCGTTCGCTTAGGCCAAAATACTTCCTTTCGCATACCGCAAAGGTAGGTTACAATTCAAAAAGAAATTGATCCTAACTTGTTGGAGATGGCTGAACATCTCCCGCCCATTCTGCGCCCCTAAAGGTCCTCTTGAAGAGCTTACAGTATGGTACTGGCTTGCTGTGATTATATGAATAACATGCGTTCGTTGTACCAAATTGCTCTAAATTCACCTCTTCCATAGGAACAGGCGTAAGTGCCAGAGGTGTTCCTTCCTCGTCCTCTGACTCCGACGAAAGCGCCACCAATGTGGTCGCATTTGAATCCTGAAGTATGTTCAGTAACCCAACTAATCAATATATCGATTTGCTTCTAACCTCTCTGTCTCTGGTTACTGGTGCGCTGCCATCGCTACGTAACGAATATATAGATCCCTGGAAGGATGACGTCATGAGGTTTTCGAATGAGGAGATCCACGAGTCTACACTGTCGATGGACGACGTCAAATCGAAGTCGGATTGCTTTGGCGCTCGAGCACTGGCGCTGTTAGCCGAGCCGAATGTGGTGGTCATCGGTTCGATCACTGACGATGTCATCAGATCGTAAGTTGTTATTTTATCAATTGAAGGCTGTGATTCAAACATCGACTGTCGATGAGGTGGCACGGGTGGAGCCGTGGCTGATGGGCGAGTTTGCAGCTGAAAAATCGATATATTGATTGAAGTGTGAGCATGGGTACATGGCACCATTCTTGGGATAACAGACCGCATTCAGAGTTGCCCTTGCCAGCGCCGTTTTAGCTCCGTACCTACAACGTTCCAGCGCCGCGCCAGAACATTGATCACGCGTTCAAATTGATTTCGGCACGCAAACACGGCGCTAGCACGGCGCTGGCACGGTGTCGACACAGAGGCAACTCTAAACATTGCCTCCGGAAAGGAATACCAAAGGAAAAACACTCACTGTGGAGAACCGTCGGCTATCATCTGCTATATAGGGTTTTCGATTGATTCCATCGATTCTATCATTTCTAGAATAATTATCAAATTTATCGCGCGCAGTTAAGTCGACACAGCTTGACGGCAGTGAATCCAGCTCGGCTAGGATTTGCGACGTCCATCTAGAGAAAATCGCCGATAATTAAGATCGTTGCCATTTTTGAAAAAAAATCTTCACCTCGTTACGGAATCTTTATTGGAGAAGTCGAACTCTTCCCCATTCAAATCGCGCACACTCATTGAGCGTTTTTCTGTCCTAAATGAGGCAATATCGAGCCGAAGAATTTGGGACACAATGGGACAAAGAGTTGCAAATACCTCAACTGACTGCTCGTACTCGATTTGAACTGATCCAAATTTGTGGCCGATGCGGCCACCTGTGATTTTTGCAGCGCACTACGTCGTCCAGCGCGACGAGCTGCAGGACCTAAAAGCACAAGAGTGAAAAATAGAAGTTTTGAAAGGTAACAAAACCCCCTTACCTCTCGGATGGCCTTTCTTCTTCTCCGGCTTCGCTTCCTCTTTTGGTGCTAGCGCGTTTACAGAAACAGATAAGCCTCGAGATTTGTTTAAACGTCCAGCCTGCAACTGAATGGCTTTTTTGAGCCGAGGAAAAAAATGAGAGCCAAGAAAAGTATAAACAAAGAATAGCCCGAGCAAGCACTCAGTATTTCTTCAGCATACAAAATCTTAATTTATCTAAAGAATTTTGATTAGCACCATTGTTGTGATAAGATTAAATTTGAAAGTGAAGTGAAGTTGATTATGAATTCCAGCAGTTCCTCTTTGCTCAGAATTGTTGAATAGAATCTTCTAGTACATTTAGTGCAAATATTAGCTCAGTCGAGGGCTAAAACATTGTTTGAAGTTTGATTACCATTGCGCTTGCTGCAAGGCTACGGTACATATGCTAACTAATATGTGCACTTTCATCCTAACGAAATTGCAGCCGACTATCATGACTAAATAATTTGCGTCTACAAAAATCATTCAAAGTGCAGATAAAACGTCACAGATTATCTGATTGTAACATAAGTTTTGTTACAATTGAAGAAAAAAACCTTCATAACTTTCCCCACAGATTTCTCATCTCCAACTTGAGTGAAGGGCTGTAACTTTTCAATACATACATGCCACACGTGGAAAATCCAATATTTGAATTTTTTGAAAATTTTCTGAATTATTATTGGCAGATTTCCAACTTGCTTGTTTAACAGCCTAAATGTCCAAACTTTCCCATTAGTGCCAATGTCCGTAGGCAGAGCTCGGCCCAGCTGGCACCGGATCAAGCTGGATATCGTTTTTAGTGCAGAAAGCAATGGGGATATCGTTTTGCCGGGGTCCGGGGCGAAGAAGAGCCGCAAGAATGCCGCCGGAATGCCACCGGCATGCTGTCCATCAAACAAACAAAGGCGTTGTCTTCAGCCAAAACGCAATAGTATGGCACCAAATTTGGTGTGTACATGCGCATTGGGGGACCCGAACTATGGCCCAAAAATTTGTGAAAACTTATGCGAATGAAAGCTGTGCTGAAGTTTTTTCTGATTTAGCTGGCACCCTGCCAGCTGGATGCCAGCTGAGCTGGCACCGACACTTTGCCCACATAAGTTTTCATACTTTTTTACATAAAATGCATCTACACTGTTGAAGTTTACATATAGAGGAGAAACAATTTCATAATGTTTTCTTTTCAGCGTTTTATAGCCATCTGAAAATTACTCAGTCTGCTCTACACTCGAAAATCCGGCTTCCTGCTTCTCAAGATGTGATTAAACCACTTAAAAAGATCAAAAGGTTGTGAAAAGTTGTTTCATGGAATTAGTATGCATGAAAACCCTACTACATACTTTTACATAATCTAAAAATAATGGCGAGTCTTCAAAACAGGTCAAAGGGAACTTCGTACGAAATTTTCAGGATCAAATGGGACTTCGTTTTGAAATTTCCCTGGTGCCAGCTCGTGCCGAGCCCTGTCCCTAAGAATCCAACAAAAATGAAAAATGAGAGCATAAAAAGTAAGAATGAGGGAGATTTTAAGGACAAAAGAAAATTGGAGATTCGAGTGTCGTCACAAACCATACCTGTAAAGGCGAAAATAATGCCAGTAGATACTCATTTGTCCACTGCTCATATGTGTCAAATATTAGACTTTGTCGAAGTTTGGTTTTTCAGAAGAAAATGAAAAAAGTGTCTCAAAACTTATGTTACGACCTAATATTTACAAAGCAAACAGACACCTCATTAGGGCACATGTCTCTTACGAAATTGCAATCTGATCCAATTTTTCCACACATTGATTGACGTACATAGAATCAAAAATCAAATAAATAAAAGTATGAATCCTGTGCTTGAGAGTTCTGCAAAGCAGCGCTACAAGTTGCTCAGCGCAAGAATGGACATGCAGTAAACAAAAGAGCGAATGCGCATGTTCTATGTTCTTGTTCTTGTCCAGAGACATTTTGCTTCTTCTCAAATCACCCAATAAATCTTTTTCTTGCACATAATGTATCTATATATTTACCTATAGATAATTGCAGCAACATAGGAAACTACATGGTTGTTTTCTCCGTGGTAGAGTACATATGCAGATTTATTGGAAATCAAGAAGAGACTGCAAGAAGCTCTGGTTACCCCCGAAAGTAACCTTTGATTGAACTGGATTGGCGACTGAAGGGCGGGGCTTAGTGACCTGGTTAAGGCTAGAGAATGATCAGAGGGCACGAGCGCGAGAGAGACGCCGCCTGCTTTGCGGGCGCAAGCGGCCTTAATTAGGTCACAAAGCCCCGCCTTCCAGCCGCCAATCCAGTTGAATCAAAGATTAAAGCTATTTTTTTGATTTCTTGAATTTTCGATTTTTTTTCACCAACCAAACGTGTTTATATGGAATGTTTTCTCGATTGTGAAAGTTCGGTTAATAAATATTACCGTTATACCGAACGGAAATTTTCATAGAACGAACGAATATCAAATGAATGATTTCTGGAATTTCAAACGATCAAAAATATTGAATAACTGATTTTTAAAAATTTTTCGAGAGGAATTTTATTCAATTCCAGATTTTTATATTATTCAAATGGGCACAATACAAAATTCGAATTTTTGAGTATTCGAATAACCGAACTTGATCGAATATTCGACTATTCGAATAAACGATCAACGATATCATCGAATTCGAATGCATTCAAAATACATAAACCTTAAAACCAGCAAAACATCAATTTTATCTTTCTCAGAACAAAACCAAAGTTATAGGGAAGACAAGTGAAGATAGAGAAGGGAAATAAAAAAGTGCTTATTTACAAGTGAAAAAATCAAAAATGTTGAGCAAAGGGTTCCCTTTGGTAATACCTAATTCATAATCATGGAAGTGAAGAAGAAAAGCTAATTAATCCAATAAGTATGGACACTAAAGATAAGCAACGTTGTCTATAAAAAAAACCTCACATTACTCCATGACAGACAGTCCGTTGTGGTTAAATCTCGGATGTTTACCGGGTATTTCGATGCTTGCACAGCTTTATGGTTTGTACGTCACATAACATGGCAAAACAGTTTTGGATACTCAAAAAGACCAGTGGATGAACAAATACAAAAAATTCAAACTTATTAGGATGATGCGTAATTCACTATTTTTGAATCTGTTACTTCGTTCGGCTTCAATGAAATCTTCTGGTATGATATTATTAGAGAGAGAAAATCCTGCGCCTTCTGAAGGTACCTGAGTCAAAATTTCTTGAGTACATATGGCAACGATATAAACTGATTAAGAGATACACTCAATAGTATGTAATTTTTCGATTATTGGTCACTAGAATTGTTTAAACGCACTTGAATTTATTTGTGTATTAGTTTTATGGCATACTCTTCTTAATAAAGAGAAGTTGGTAGCAATTGGATACCTCTGTGGATAATTACGAATCGATTTTTTTTACATTGACTTATTGATTTTGTATCATAATATGAAATTCATATTGATTTTCTAAAACGTAGCATAATATGTACATAACAACAAGCATATTCTCCAAATTGCCTAGCTTGTCTAAGCATTTTCAATACAATTTTTTCCAATTTTTGGTGTAAGAATTGTGCATCAACCTAATAATAAAACAAAAGCAGTGTGCTAAAATGGTGTAGGTGTGAGATGCACGATAGTTGCGAACGCACATAAAATCCGAAATTAAACGCGATAATCCAGATAATCTGGAGATCAGCTGAGAATTATCCGGATAATCTAGGATAAGCGGAGTTTTACACAGCGCGAGCGATATTTGTTGGTGATGTTTAGAAGTTTACTTAAGTATTTGAATGGCAGCTAGAAAAATTGGCTGGCTATGTTTCTGCACAAATATTTTGATTGAATTAATTGATTAAGGAATAGATTCCAGTTTCTTCACCCAAGGCTATAAAAAAACTACGAAGCAAGGGATTACTCTCACGAAACAGATACTGCGGAAGCAATGTTTGCATTTGACTTCGCGTTCCTTTTTTCTGAGATCAAAAATCGAGGACTGCTTGAGAAAGCCAACAATTTGCAAGTCAAAATTTGTGAATGAAACTCGAGAAGAACGGAATGGTTTTGCAAGTGATGACTCTGCACATGTTGGAGGTTCACTGGTAATACCGATTAAGTCGTTGAAGTGGTTACGAATAATTTTCATCACTGCAATTACTGTAAGAAAAGAAATAAATGGCATCTTTACACAAAAGAGGTGCATCAGCAGCAAGGCGCCACAAAAAAAATTCAACGAGCTAGAAAAAAAAATTCTTAAAAAATAAATATCGATTTTTCCCTCGCTCGGGGTCGGTGGGTCCTGTAGATTTCTTAGGTAGGTGGGTCCCATGATGTAATGATGAGCGTGACAACGAATTACTAGCTAATGATAAGCAAAGAGAAGTTTTTCGAATCTGCTAAGTGCCTTATGCGATAGGGTTTCGGTAAAAAAATGTTTGCGAGCTTTACATCTCAAAAATCGTAACTTTTGCAAATCTTCAGAAAAAAAAACAGATAGTATGCAAGTTAAAACTCAAAGTTTAAGCTAATGCTTTGCTATAGAATCCGTGAGTCAATGGAGAATGGATTTTTGCAGAAATCAATTAAAGAACTGGTTAGGTTTCACTGTTGCGATGTGAAACATGCATTTTACGGCTGATCCGACAGTTACGAATTATGAAAAACTTAGTTCGCCCATTGAGCATGCAGTTATGCGTGATGCGGTGAAACCGACCAAAAGAGAAAGAGATAGCCATGTACTTTTTTAGCACATTCACCAAGGCGTTTATGATTTTTGCTATTTTGGTCCAAATGTGACACTTACTTATCAGTAATTAGTAAATCAGTACCGCACAGCCCTAACATGTAAAACTTTTAGGCAAAAACGTGAAAATTTGAAACAAAAATTTCCTTCGAGTGATGAGTACGTGTCTTTAGCCCGCTAGATAACTTCGAAATAAGTGCATCTAGATTCCAACAGAACAAAAGTATAAAAATAAAACTGGCTTTCCTGCCTGATGCTCTACAGCACCTAAGCTTTTATTCAACTGGATTGGCGGTTGGAAGGGGGAGCTTTATGACCTAATTAAAGCTGCTCGAGCCCGCGAAGCAGTCTGCGTCTTTCTCGCGCTTGCCCTTTGATCGTTCTCTAGCCTCAACTAGGTCACGAAGCCCCGCCTTCCAGTTGAAGGGTGCAGCAACTTTATTTACAGCTTTCGAATACCATTTAGCTGTTAACATCAAAAATGCTAATGGGCAAAGTATTCCCCTTCTGATAATTGATAGTAATAATAATATCTAATTTAGTCTATTTACTTATTATTTATTTAATAACTCAACGCATTTTCAAAGCCATAAAATCCATATATTGATTATTTGAGCCCACTTGAGATGCCACACTCACGTGTCTGGAGCTACTCCTTGATCTCGGTTGTTCTTCGTCGTCACTTGAGCTTGTTGACTGATTGCCAGTGGCTAAGATAAGGCTAGTTTCCGGGTCGATAGTCACCGATTTTCTTTGTTTCCGGGTGAATCGACGGCGTCTCAGAACGGGACGATCTGCAACGGGCAAGGTAATGCTTGCTTACAGAGTGAGTAAGACTTTATCAAAATGCTCACCGCTGTCGTGATAAGACCTTCGTTCATTCGCGAAAGTGAAGGCAGCTTCGTCGACCGGAAGTTCGGCTTCGGATTTTTGACGTCGTAAGGCTGCAGGATGTTGTGCAGCGCTGGAAAAAGGGGAAACAATAGGTAAAAAGTAGATGGTATTCAAACTTTACTAAATGCATTTTTTGAAAGTCCAGGGGGGAGGGAAGTTCATGAAACGCTTACCCGGGCTTTTTGATATGGGGATCGACTGGGATGTCCACAATTTCTCTATTATCAATGAGTCATAGGAGCTACCGCATGAGTATTTCTTACCCATGCGGCAGCTCCTATGACTCATGATATCTGAGAAATGGAAGTAACCAGAATACAGAAGAATCTACAGAAAGACGAAGAAAGATAATACTAAATCACAGCGGCTGGCGGCCTATCCCATCAGAGTACAAAGTACAGTTATAGTAGATCTGCCCCCATAAGAAAATGCAACAAAATCTATACAACAGCCTAAGATCAATGTGACTGCGCTGTTTGGCAAATCCCCGAATTCACAAGTATCACAAAACATAGATTCAAAGAAGTAAATTTAGCCTTTAACAAAGATTGAGGATGGTGAAATTTAAAATAGGCGGCAGTAGCGGGGTCCCTAGATAAGTTATTGCTCAAATCCCGCTGCAGAAGGTAAGTCAGACGCGAAAAAATAGCTCCAGGAAGTAGAAGGCGGTGGTCGCTTCGCCCATCTACCTGGGTGACCTGAACATACAACTCCAAAATTGGGCTTGAATGTTTGCATGTCAAAAATCCCCCTCTATTAACATTACCACATTTTCGGTAATTTTGAACTGAAATCCTTTTTGGCTTGTTATCTTCAGACCACCCACGTTGATGGGCGGAGCCACCTTGGCTGCTTCTACCTCGTGAAGCGATTTCTTCGTTTTGGAATTCTCCTTCTGCAGAGGAATTTGGGCAGTCACTTAGTTATGGGCCCCTCTAAGACATAACATCAAATTCTCAGTCCCAAACCGTACTTTTTTCGAACAAACCAATCAGCGCCGTCGAGTACGGTAGTGGACGAGTGTATAGAGTCAGATTTCCCAACGGTGAATGAGTTATATGAGGTGCCCCTTGAGCAATGACTAATTCAGGCCTAGCCTTAAACCTTCACATTAAGACATCTAATTTTGTCAATTAACAAACATAAGGGTCAATCTCCACTCAGATGACGTTGCATGATGTGTTATTTCGCAAAAAATGTTGTAGGTGACGCGCTCATTTCTCCGCCCTCCTTAACCTAATTTTTTTAAAACAAGAATGCAGAAAATAGTTTCAAGCAACAACGTCACGTTTATTTAGCTGTGTTTAACCTACTTTACTGAAAACGCAATAATAAACTTCTTTTCTAAGAAAGTTTAGAAAGATGCTCACCGCTGTGATAATCCTCCACCAGTAGAGTCGATATATTCAAGAGCGTGGAGACTTCGACTGAGATCTTGCTGAAAAAAGAAATTGATAGCCGCTGGAAAAACAAATTCGAAAATCGATTATTGGCCTGGAGACGAGATAAGAATGATAGTGTTGCCGATTATTGTTTGCTAATGGAACGCGAGTGCATGTCAGTGATGAGGGGGGGGGGGGGAAGGGGAGGGTTGATATTCCGGTACTCGACTACTTGCTTTTGTGTACCTTTAGATGATGAGATGACAGTTTTAACTGTAATTAAATGAGATTAAACAAAGATTCACCGCTGAAAATAGGACGAGGGCTCTTTCAAGGGATGCTTATGGAAAAGAGAATTTAGACAGCATTTTTTGGAACCCCACACCCACCCCAAACCATGCCGGAAACTACCGAATAAGAATAGCGTCCAAAAAGAAGTGCTAAGAGCTAGTGCTGTCAGTTTTGATCCATGTCAAAGCAGCACGCAAAAGCGCCGACGGTGATTGATATGATGCTAAGAAAATTTGCGAACCAAAGGAAACGAAATCGTTTAAGAACTGCTGGCGAAAATTTTTCTCCAGCTTCAAAAAAAGTTTTTTAAAGACAACATATTTGATGAACTGCACAGCCATGCACGCAGAGCACTAAGCTGTGAAATCAATCTCAAAGCTCCAGTAAAAAAGTCTGGATTACGTCAAGCTGGAAAAATGAGTCACGTCTTTTTTTCCTCACGGCTGGTGCTTTTTTGATCCAATAAGATTTTCAAGATAATTGCCTATATAATAGCTATAAAATAAAAGAAAAACAAACAGCACGTTTTGTTTAATTTCTCTTTCAAAAAGGCTTTCAAGCAGATATATGATGAAAAATTTTCCACACAAGCGAAAAAATATTTGTTTGTTGGTTAGTGAGCAGCATTTACCCAAAATTCACGGCTATTCAAAACTGAACTGGCCAAAAACCCATGCCATTACCGAGGCAATCAATCATCTGGCTCTAGTGTTAGCGATATACGCTTTGAAAAATGAGTGACGAAAAAGGAAAAGGTGCAAACTGAAAAGGTTCGCACTAATGTAACATAAGTGCTTTTGCACGGTACAGAAAGCTCCTGTCAGAAGAAATTAAAGGGAGAAGGTGAACGTCTCCGAAAGGTGAGAAGCCCTACAAACCAAATTTTTATGATTCCGCTCGAAATGAGTGTTCCAAAGATAGGGGCTCAGAAGATTCAGTCTAATTATACCTTGCCAAACGGGTAATGCATAGCTAATTAGAACGCATCAAATGCATGGATTGCATGCGATACCGATGAGAGCATAAATCAAAGCGAATGTGATTACCGTGCTAGAAGGAGAAAGGTGAAAAGTGTAAAATGCAAGAAAGCACCTGGGATAACTTCTGACACTGTGATTTATCGTACTATTAGGGTACAAAAATACTTCCAGAACTTTTCGTGACCCTGCTTGAAAACTGCCAATCTCGAGTAATTTCGTTCAAATCCTTCTATCTTTCGGATTTTCTCAAGCTAGTCAATCGCAGAGACACTGCTTTAAAGAACATGGTTTCTTCTTTCAAATGAAAATAATATTATAAAGATCCATTGAGAAAAAAGAATGTTATGATTTTTTGAAAAACTGGCGAACGAACTTTTAAAACGACCTAATATATCGTTAGATGTTGGCTTATATTGCAATTTCAATCATTGATTGCTTTGATAAACGAGAAGTCAAGGATTTTTGCACTAAAACGAATTTAGGAAAACATCTGGACAGCTAAAAAAACTCAAAATCATCCACAGTAGCTTTTATTCTCATAGTAAAGTAAAACAGAGTTGAACCAGTAATTTTCACTTTATTTCCAATTTGAGAGATGAGAAAAAATTACTCGCATAATCATTCTGAAAATTGGTATAAGTTGGTTTCCCTTGAATTTTGGCTTTGACATTGCTCAAGTGCTGAGCCAATGAATTTTGAATACCATTCTCGGTCAAGCTCGGAAAAGTATCGAAAAGCATTCTAAAAAGCTTATCAGCTTTTACTTACTGGAAGAAAGATAATTTGTTTCATTCTATGTATAGAAAATCTGATTATGAGCTAAGAGACTGGTACCGAGTTGCCTTACGACTTTCATCAAGCTTCTTAAACATACACTTTGTTCTCCTCTATTTTCTGCCAATTTTCGATACTAATATATTTTTGGAGAGAGGAGAAATTATGCGCTCTCTAACATATAATTTTTAATCAGTTTTTTCTTCTTCATTTCCCCCTCTATATGGAATGCACTACCGTTTATCGAACGTCTTCCTAAACTTTTTTGAATTGCTTTTCTTTCAAACTTCGCGGCGCAATAGGGCCAATAGAGACACATAAATTTGATTGTTTTTGAAATGAAAACAGAGAAATATTTCACTATCGAAAAAGATGAAGATGGAACAAGTTGTGTCCTGAGGTTTGAGGTCTGATACCGAGTTGGTGAACAGAATCAAAGGAACAAAACACGCTTTATCGGGGAAACCCAACCTCAGGCAGGGTCTAATAAGCAACCGAAGTGGTTCATTAAGGTGCAGTGCGCAAGATTTATTACATCGATGAGTTCTAATAACATTCTACCCAAGATTAGAGTTTGATGGGAAAGCATTCCTTATAGGTTGCGCTGATTGCTTCAATGTCCAGAAAAGGAAGAGAGCAAGCAACCGACGTCATGGTGTCATGGTCGTTCGTAATCCTAGAAGTTACGAAGAATTTTCCCTTAGATTGTATAGTAGAGCAAAGGTAAAATTCGAAGAGGGTTTCAGTTCTGACAAAGTTCTTTTTTTTCTAATAAAAAATGTTATTCCATGATGAGTCGTAAAAATGTGTCATGGCAATTTGAGGGACTATTACAGCTGCATGGAAAGACTTCCGAATTTCACCTGCCTAAACTAATTCGCGCCCATGAATGTTACCCATTAGAATTTGACGGATTGGCCTGCTCATTCCTTTCTAATAAAAATCTTGAACATTTCAATCTGGTTTTGTGACTAGCATCACATCGTAAATTATAGCTACTTAATTTGGAAAATTTTTGGTCTTTATTTCGGATGGAGACAGATCAAGGGTAGAGGAATAAAAACAATTTTCTCCAGCATACTAGGGGTAGATAGGTTGGCGCATACCTGCCTCAAAATATAATCCTTTTAAAATGTTCGAGAAAAACTTTTCAATTTATATGATACCTTTTTATTACACATGACAAATCTGATCTATTTTTTATGTGAAGATTCAAAATAAAACCGAGACGCGTCCAAAAAATCAAAAATTAAGGCTCTTCGTACATAGTAGTTACGTCATAAGTTAGGGTCACTGTCTTGAAATTGTCCGACCTTTCAGTGGAAACCATAAATGGTAAACAAATGAATTCCGAAATTTCAGAGTAGAGTAGGAGTTCAAAGTTCCGATCAACACAGAATTCTCCGATCGGAAAGCGCTGAGTCGTGAGACAAAATTGAAAGTGAAATTATATTTTGTTTTGCCTTCGAATATCTTTTACTTACCAGAATTTAAATAACAAATGATCAGACTGTTTCCATTTATCAACTTTGTCTCCCTGATATGTTGAAGTGGTTTTTGCTAAAGCACATTCAGAAGTGCAAGACTCTTTCTCGAATGCGTTCAAATTAAAAAGACATAGCAATTTTTGGGAATTTTGCATTAAAATCTATGGACCAATTTGATATTGCGACAGTATTATGTGTATTGATGTCTGGTTAAAAATTGCTTATAATCAGGAAGCTCCCACTTTCCCAGGTACTAGATACTACAGTTACCCCCCCCCTTCCCCTCTCATCGCAACGTTCTCATCGTCCGTGGAAATAACGAACAATTAGGTATATAGAAAAACCAGACGGACAAGATTTTGGCGCCAAGAAGCATAAGAAGTATAGACGCACGAGGGGAACAGGTAGGTCTTTTGTAAGCTCATCAGAGACTATCTTTTGCAAAACCAAAAACAACAAAGGGAAATTTATGGACGAAAAGTGGAGGAGGTAACCAAGAATAGCGCTTCCATTTTAGGTGCACAAATGCTTTCCAAAACTGGAAAATGAGAACTAAGCGCTAAACAAGCGATCGAAAAGTTGTGACTATAGAATAATCTACTTCAAATTTAGCCCCGTGGATAATAGAAATGTGCTCAAAAGCTAGAGGAAATGTTGGACTGAAAAGGGAAAAAGAATAGCGCATAGATGGCAGAAAGAGAATGGAGGAAAGAATTTGCATTAGATAACCAATACTCCGGCATTTTTCAATGGAAGAAATGCGATACGGCAAGCAACTAAATCCTTTCAAATACGCGTGGAAAATCGGCAAAAACTTAGGATTTCGGGACCAGATATGCGTGAGAAATTTTTCGATTCCCAAACAATAGCTGCTGCCGGCGCCGCACCGAGTCGCCGGCTGCAAGCACTGATTTAAGCCTGGAGGTCATGAAAACAGAGAACATTTCTTCTTGTCGGAAATGGCGCTGCTGCAGCGCTTTTGATAAATTGTGCTTTTTCTCAGAAAACAGTTGAATGTGCTGTCTCTGCGGTGTGTTCAATCTTCGTCCGGGAATGGAGGAAAGCGAATGTTTTTGAAAGTCGAAAAAGAAACTTCGAGCTTGCAGGGGCACTCGCTGGGAGGCCCCATTACTGCCGCGCCTCGAGCTGCGCAGCTCAAATCATAAAAAAATGTGACGATGCTATGAGTAGCGGAGTGAAAGCGACGAGAGAGCATGTACAAAATCGTAAAGATAATTCAGGTAAAGGTTTACCGAGAATAAGAGAGGAGTTAGGGTACACAGGTAGTTTTTGGTAACCAACTTCTAAGATGAAATCGCGGACATAATAGAACAAAGTAGATGGATGGAGGCAAACTGTCTATATCTACGGAAATTGCTCCTTGACATAGATTATTCCATTGTAAAGCTCTGTTTACATCGAAGAATAGCTAACTAGATTTTTAAAAAACCCTCAAAAACTTTTATAATTCTGGAAATTTCTCCTCTGAAAAGGGCCAAATGAGAAAAGCACAAGACCAAAACT